GATATTCTTCATGGTGTCGGTCCTCCAGCACGCGACCTTTAAAGTTCTTTCTGATGCAGACATTCTAGAATTTCACTTCTTTTTGCAAAACGTGCCGATATATTACTAATTTGAACTAAACTCGAATGTCCCAATTAGTGAGGTTTCCCTGTGTGTATAGACCTCTGACCTGCACGTGTGAGCTATGAGCTCTTCGATGTTAAACATTTTGGCAGACGAGACGAGGACCGTGCGATACCCGCCCGTGAAGGCTGAGGGAGTAGTCAGAGAGGACTTTGTTCAAGAGCTCCACGTGTTAACAGCATCAGTCAGGAGCTTGTTTCCCAAACCAGAGGGAGAAAAGCATCCTGTTTCAATCTTTCTGTGGGTCCTCAATCCCTCCCAGCAGCCCCCAAACAAAAGCCTATCAAAGTACAATTTAACAGTTTTATTGCCATATAATTTAGGTTCTATAAAACTCAACCACTGGAAGTATACGATTCAATGATTTTTTTTTTTTTCTGGTAAGTTTATAGGATTCTGCAAACATTCCCACAACCCAGTTATAAAGCATTGCCATCATCCTCATGCCTGTCTGCAGTCAATTTCCACCCCACTCCTGGACCCAACAAGGGTCATCGGCTTTCGCCTCTCTGTGTGGACTCCCGGGGACCTTCCCCCATAATAGCAGTCAAACGGCATGTAGTCCTGTATAACTGACTTCTTACACTGACTATGATGCTTTCGAGGCTCACTCAGTGTGTCCAATCCACGTACCCGTTACTGGTATTCCCTTTTCAATCAAAAAGACTTTGTGTGCTGGTGCATGCGTATAATCTCAGTGACTTGGGAGGCTGTGTCAGGAGGATCATGAGTTTGAGGCCAGCCTGGGCAAGTTTGTAAAATGAAAAGGGCTGGCAATATAGCTCTGTGGTTGAGCATTTCCATGTTCAGTACCCAGCACCACACACACACACACACACACACACACACACAACAAAAAGATCTGATGCCCACAGTGTGTGCCCTTAAAAACCCTGCCAGGGCCCACCGGCCACCTCCACCAGTTCTCTGTCCTGGGACCTGTCTGACATCACATGTTCTCCACTTTAGCCAAATGGTGATGCAAAGAACCCAGAGCTGATGAGAGCCACACTGGCCCCGCTCCAGTGCCGAGGGGCAGAGCCAACCCGTCCCGCACTCTTCCGTCTGACCCTTTCTCCGGCCGTCCAGGGAACTATGTTACAGGGGGAAATTCTTCCAAGACCCAGGCCGTGGTCAGCGTTTGGGCAGAAGGCTAACAGGGCCCACCTGTGCATGCCCACAGGGGGCTACCTGCCCTGAGCGGAAGAAGCAACCTGAAAGCCAAGGGACCACCTCGGGCTGCTCATGTCTGCGATGGTTCAAAAAAGCCGGTGCTGAGGGTTGAAACTGGAACAACCTGAAAAGTGGAAGAGTAAAAGTGAAGTACAGATGAATTCCTCGGTGCAGCAGGAGGAGAAGCACCCAGGCACTTGGGAGAAACGAATTTCCTTAAGTACGCTTGCTGTGTCTGATTAGGGCTTGCCATGGAGGAGGAGAGGAACAGCTCACCAGCCAGCCCCCGGGGTCGTGCCAAAATGTGACAACTGAACCCCAAGCCTGGAAAGTTCTTTTTGCTGCTGCTTTTCTTCCATGGGGAGTTCAGGAGGTGTATGGAAGGAGTATGTGAGAGTATATGAAGGGCTCAAATTAAGGTGTGTCTGCAACAAGGATTCCTTTAAAAGAACCAGGGAAAAGGATACTTGTCTGTGAATTTCAAAGACTGTGGCCACTGGGCTGTTTTGTTTGTGAAATCCCTTCCCCCTAATTAATGAGCTTGCTCAAGGCAACCCTCCTCCTCTCACCTAGCTTAGAGTCTCTGGTTTCTACTTCTAAAAAGAGGTGCAAGCCACACTGGTTACATGCATACTTTAGCAAATAATAAAAACATGTGTCTCCCAAGGCAAGTTAACTATTGCAATATGTGCTCTAACACGCCATCATTGCTTGGCTTTGCCCCCGCCCCCGGCCCCAAAGCCAACCAAAAGGGTTAGACCATCACCTTAATTGTTTTGTTGAAATGTCTCTTCTCCAGGCATTGCCCCTAGAAAGATTAAATGATACAATATCATCTAGAAAACGCGAAGCTTTTAATCATCCAGGCCCAGGAATGTAGAAAGATACAGGTAAACTATGGAAAGTAAACAGAGGCCAGGCTTCTAAGGCACTGCCAGGAAAACTTTCAGGAGAGAAGAAAACGAGCCACACATCTCTAATGGCCCCAGCATCCAAGTGGACTCCGGCTTCTTCCAGGGGCAATAACCCCACAGGGGAGAGCTGTGTCCCTAACGAAGGCCATCTGACCACCCATCTCCCACCCAGGGAGCTTTCGGTGGTAAACAGACATTGAATGCGACGCCTGGTGGTGGGGCTGTCCCATGCATTGCAGGGTGACATCAGCATCCCTGGCCTCTACCAATCAGATGCCGTTAGAAGACAACCAACAGTCCCCAGACCAGAGTAACCTGGTGGCAGAGTGGCCCCAAGTTGAGGATCATTGCTCTAGATCCCGTACAGAACCACGATTTCATGTTGGAGACACGGGGGTGGGGTGGGGGTGGGGGTGTCAGCTAGGCCAGTGCCCTGTCATTTAGGATGCATTAAAGGAGGCCATTGAAAGTTAATTCTCCAAAGCCACAAAGCCCCTGTTTGGTAACAGCACAGAAACCAGAAACCTGACTAGGCCAATGTTTTTGGAGAAGTCTTTCTGCAAAGAAATGACTGAATATTAAGAGCAGTATATTTTTTAAAAAAGCTAGGTAGTCGAATAATATCAATGATGCTATTCTTTTTTAGAAAAAAGTAGGGGGTGGGGGCACAAAGGAAGGGTCCCGGCAAGCTGTAAATCAGGGAGCTCTGACAGAGTGGCCCTGGCAAGAGGGAAGGCAAAGATACCTTCTAATTATAGAACACTTTGTGTATGCGTTTATAATTCCAACCTCATAGAACACAACATTTCCCTGGAAATCAACCCACTCAAAACACACTGATACACACACACCCTGGGGTGCTGCAGGAGTATCCCGAAGCCGCTGCCCATCTCGCTCCACTGTCACAGAACAGCCCTTGGAAACTAAGACAGCGATAGGGTTTGGATGACCATGGGTCCAGACACCTGACAGTGGCCCAGGGGAAAGCCTGATGTCACCCACATCACCAAAGCCAACCCCGTAAGACGGCACAGGGGGTCCTCCTTCTCCAGCCCCTGCCAGCCTCAGAGCTCGGTGTCTGGAAGGAGGGAAGGAAAAAGCAAAGGAAGGAGGTTAGTTTCACGTGTGGTTCTTATAACATATAAATCCCAATTTCCAAGTCGATTGCCGGAGTGAAGGCTTTAATGTGGTTCTTTTGGCCCAGACCATACCTTGTTAAAATACTTTTTCTTCTTTAGCAGTTCTGCTGCCCGCCGCCCCCACGCCAGGAGCATAACTCTACACACAATGCTCAAGGCTTCTGCTTCTTCTGGGGAACAGGCAAGGAAAGAAATCATCTGAATGCATAATGACTACATCCTGACTTCAATAGGCGCCCCTCCTTTCCCGCTCCCTCACCTGCTGGGAGCCATCTTTCAGAGGGAGCCAGCCAGAGCACCCTTTTATGTCTCTTGGCTGGTGACCGGCTTGTTCTCAGTGCATGGCAGAGATGGTGTAAAGACAGGGAGGCAAAGAAAAGCCGCATTCAGCAAAGGTCAATATTAATAGGATATCCTATATGGAAGAAAAACAGACACTCAACATTTATCATAATGGTTATCTCTGCAGGGTAGAATTTTTTCCCTTCTTTTTAAATTTGTGTGGGCTCAACATTCCCCCCCACCACCACCACTACCAGGGCATGAATTACTTCCTTACCCAGAAATTAATTATGATCCTTTTTAAGTAATGTGTCATTAACATTCTCTGGGTCACACATAGTGGGGCTATAATGCCTGCGGCCTGCTCACCGCTCGCCCAGTGCAATCAACTGTCCCCCGTTCCATCCCTCCAGCTCCATGGCTCTCAGAAGGCCCTCCTGCATCTGAGCCACTTGGCTCATGACACTGTGGCTCCACCAGCACAAGGTCTGAAAACCCTTATGCACATGCACCTTTAGCACAGAACCACATGAATTCCCAGAGCACACGTGTCTGGGAGGAGGGAAGAAACACACTACCCATTCATCAGCAGAGGTGACTCCCCCACTTTATCACACAGCCAACGTGCTGGAGACTCAAGTCTCCTTCACCAGCTCAAAACCCCTCGACGGCCAGGGACACCGACCTTCTCTGTTCAGTGCACACGCTCCAGAACCAAAGAACTCCTGAACCTCCGAAGAAGAAGCCTCAGCAGGAAGGGTCAACAGCAGACACACACACACAGATAAAAGCAAAACAAGGCCCTCACTATATTCCTGGGAACAGCTGGCAGAGCAAACGCAAAATAATCGAGAACCAAGCGTCGCTGAGAAAAATTAAACTGACTGCTTGATCCTTACCAGGTCGGCACACCACGATGACAGAAAGAAGGGAACGTGACGAGCAGTGCCTACAGAGGTTAAGTCGACCACTTTGGAAATGATATTTTCTGTGCTCATCAGGGAAAGCATGTATTCGCTAGGCCCATCTCTGGGCAAACTTGGGGCCACACAGTCAGTGTCCATGTCAAACGGCGTGAATGAGGACACAGAGGAGGGAGGAACGCCAGGCAAGGTGTACGAAGGTCCTTGGTAAGTGGGGGATGACCACATCTCCTTCACAGTGCTGTTGTAAGGGCTAAGAAACAGAGGGTACATGCAAAATGACAGGTATGTGACAGGTGCTTAAAAACATAGGGTACACCAGGGCCACCAGAGGCTCAGCTCAGGAGCCTGGGGGTGGGGATTCCTGGCATGGAAATTCTGGGTCACCTTCTGTCTTAGCATACTGCTTTCGTGGTTCATTTCATTCTCTACCTCTCTGCGGTTTCTCTTCGGAAATGTCAAGGTCAAAATGCAAATGTGTGTGAGGACAGCAAAGGAGATGCATGGAGGGTGGGTTAATATAGAAAATGACCAAGATCTGCTTCTGTCTCCTAGGACATGACAAAAACCTCTTTCAAGATGTATCTTTAATTCCTAGATTCAATTAAGAACTGTAAAGACCTCTAAAACAACATTCAACACTCTCATTCCTATGGGGGTGGCGGATGGGGCCCTTCTGAGAATCTGATGAAAGACAGGCCTCTTCTCCCAACCATGTGCCTTTACCCAACTTTGGCTTGCCCTGCACGGTTCAGACGGGCATCCCCAGCAAGCTCCCTCTGCCCCACAGCAGTGATACTGAAGACACAAATCAGGCAGACTTTCTCCTAGCTCAGTTTAAAAATAGAGCCGGCTGGCATTTTAAAATTATTGTATACAGCTGGCTGCAGTTACAACAATTCCCTCCACCCCCTCTCTCTCCTCTCTCCCTCCCTCTCTCTCTCTCTCTTTCTCTCCCTCTCTCTCTCTCTCTTTCTCTCTCCCTCTCTCTCTCCCCCTTCCTCTCTCTCTCTCTCTAGGCTGTGTTAAAATTGCAAAGAAATGGCATGCACAAAGCCTGGAAGTTTGCAAAACCGATCCCCAGTCCACAAGGCCTGCTGTTTCACCAAATAATTAAGCCATTACTTCATCTCCATTGCACACCTGCACCATAATTGCTTCACAAAAACCACGCGCGCAGATGGCTTTGAGAGATGTAAGTCCACATAATAAAAGTTCACGGGCAGCTCAGCTATTTGGACAAGGGTTTGGACCTACAGAGCTGCTGCCCAAGGCAAACACATCAGCTAATTAGCTCCAGTTGGTGAGCCGTGCTGCACCGTGCACTTGGCCATGCAGGGCGATTCTGCGGCCCTCCCTCCTCATGGTGAGGCTTCCTATCCACCTGCAGGGCCACCAGACGGTTCTCTGAATAATAAGTAAAGCACCCCTGCCCCCACCCTGACTCGACTTTATAGGAAGGTGACAAATGGATATTCATTTGTTGTCATTTAAAAACCATCACTTGAAAATCATTTAAAATCAGTGTCATTTAAAAAGTCATTTAAATCACTTTATTTTTGCAAAATGTTTTATTGTTTACAAGCATTTTAACAGGGCTCAGAACCACAGAAGGGAAGGCAGGTATTATACCCCCAGTGCACTTGCTCATCAGCAAATGCTTCTAGAAAGTCTCCAGTGCTAGGAGTGGTGGGCACACCTGAAGAGCCATGACTCCAACAGCAGCAGCCATGGAAATGCAAAGGAAGGAAACACCTCTGCCCTGGGAAGGAAGGGCGTTTCTGCAGGAAGGAGCTGCTTAGGGGAAAGCCATTTTACCCAGAGAACTGGAACGGCAAGAGATGGGGAGATTGCAGAAAGGACAGAGAACAGTATGGGCAAAGGTGAAGGCAATGACACGGGTATGCTCTGGTGGGTGGGTGGGGTGCAGCCAGGGGGCCAGGGAAAAGGAAGAAATGAGGCAGGAGAAGGGGGAGGCCAAATCCAGGGTGATCCTACCAGCGGTAGATAACAGAGGAGTTCACTTTGAGGAAACCACAGACACAGATCTCTGCTAGAATAGCTGTTCTCAAACGGGCATGCCTTTCTAAAGCTCCCCAGAGAGTGTCATGTACAGCCGGCCTGGAGAAGCACTGGGCTGGAGGTGACCCGCGGCCTAAACGTATTCAAGTTCAAGGCTCTTTCTTGTGCTTTGAATTGTAGCTATTATGTCCCTTTCCACTTTATATCAATTTTAAGAATAAAAAAAATCTGAGAACACCACACAGATACATATATACCCTAATCTTCTAACTTCAACGCTTTACTGCCGCATAAAGAATTTTGGCATTTATTATTCGATAGGCCAAACATCCTAGTTAACCAATCTGAACGGACTTGTATTTCTGGAGGAGTTTTCAGACTGGAAGGAAAACATTTCTGACCATCTCTTAGCGGCTGGAACTATTCTTTAAGGCCACAATGCCTTGCGGAACAAGATCAGCAAGTCAAATATGTTTAGCAAACTGACTCACCCAGCGGCAGAGATGGACACCTGGGAGGTGATTTTTATCTGAAAATTTTCAGTGCTTTCAAAGGTGATCTTGTTTGCAAACCTGGAGTTCGTGAACAGAACCCAGCAAGTGTCCTTAAATCTAAACCAAGGGCCTCCCTCAGAGAAAGGATGGCAAATTTAGATCCCATCAAACATCCCTTTTGTCCTTCCTGTGTCCGCCAAGGACGCTCTGAATGGCACCATACTGCTCCCTTAGCCACCATGAATCAGTGGGGCTTGGCAGAGGAAGCAAACCAACTTATGATGCCTGCCCCGTAATTCAGAAGCACTTTGAAAAGGACTCCTCAATAGGACTACTTCGAAAGGGGAGCAATTTATACCAGGCAAGAAGCCCAAAACATTGATTTCATTCATTTTCACTAACAATGCAGCCTTTTAGGTAAGTAAATGTGGACTTGAAAAAAAACAAAAACAAAACAACATTTGGGGACACATTTTTTTTTTTTTTTTTTTAAGAATGAAATGCTTTCCACTCTTGCCAGTAGGGGAAGAAGATATCAAACCATCAAATGAACAGAACCGATCCCAAAACAACCTCTGCGAGTGACTTTTGAATGTATTCTCTCCAGAAGTCACCGTTCCCTGCTTTCGCCCTCCTGCTCCCGGCGGGTTTCGTTGTCTTTCCCTCCAGTGACTCACGTGGAGAAGGAAATGATGAGGTTACTGTCCTCACCTCACAAGGTGGGGTTTTTTAAAAATTTATTTTAAATTAAGTCATATGACATCTGGAGAACTCACTGGTGGGAGCACAGCATGATCCAAATATAGCTTACACACATGGTAACAGTATTTGTCAATAATAGTCCAGAGCTAGTTAAAAGAGAGCCGAACCCGTCATGCCATCTGATAATCTGCTCGTCTTGGTCAGCCGCTGATCAGGGGAGTGGCTTTACTCTGACAAGCACACAATGCCAGTTTCATAGGGCTGGGCTTTCCTTCAATGAGGAGGAGGGTCAAGATGACCGTAGTAGTTAGTGACCAGTTCTTTTCAGTGTGGTCAAAGGAAGCCACGATAGGGTCAAATAATGCGGATGCACGTACCTGTTTGCTCTCTTCTCCTTTCAGGAAAAAAAGAAAACCAATTAGCTTGGCCAGAGATGATCAAAAGTTGGGGGATGGCTGGAGTCTACAGATTATTTATAGATGGATCTCTGCATTCACACGTCTACTCGCTTGACAACACCAGCCTGTCTTGATGGATCGCCACCTTGACCTCACGGCCCAGAAACATCTGGGCCCAACAGTGAGAAGATCCAGGTGAACAAGATGGCGTCTCCATGAGCCAGCACCAGGACTGCTCAGCCTCCTGGACGGGGCGGCATCTTCTCTGGCTGCCCAGGCTAGCCTGATAAGTCCCTGCTCTGCCTTTCTCTAGGCTCAGGGAGGTCACCTCTCATAACCGTGTCATGGCCACAGCCCCGGCTTTGTTTCGACCCTCATTCATGGTAAGTCGTGAACGTGGAAATTTCAATTCCTCACACCAACTACTCCCTCGCAGCATTTGGAGTCCACTTCCAGGCCTCTGTGAGCTGCTGGACACCCAGAAGTGTCCCACAGACTCTGGAGTCACCTACAGAACACAGCCTGGAGCCACAGAGGGGTCCGCGTTTCCTCAGTGGTCCCCTCTGGGAAGCCACTGCCCTTTTTCTCGGGTGGCCTTCATTCACCTCCTCTGAAGAATGACTTTGAGCCTCCAGGGTCATCTGGTGGGAGCCCCATGAAGCCGCCCTGCTGTGGGGGGAACACTGCCCGCCCCAGCCCTCCCTGGGTCCGGTCCTCCCAGGCCTTCTGAGCTTGGCAAACACCGACCCCAATGCCTGGCCTAAGCCAAAGCATGATAACCCGCCTTTG